TTTATAAAAATAAATAAATAAATAAAAATTTGAAGATGGGTGCGACTATCTAGGGCAAATCAGCCAACCCTTTCAGAATAAAAGCATTTCATTGACTGAGTTTATTTTTTTTATAAGTACTGTTTGAAATTAGTCAAACCATATTTTATAGTTAGTCAACTTTTGTATTCATTAGTTAAATATTAAATGTTTTATTTCTTTTTGACGCTCTTAATTTGATATTTAGCTGCTAAAGATGCTATATGCTACACACTGACACATCCAGCACTGCTTGTAAGAGAGAATAGATTTTATTTAATTCAGAATAAATGGCATAAAAATAGACTTAAAATTAGCAGAACTTAATTTAGCGGGAGCTAATCGGTCTGCTAACGGTTTTCAAATTTAGCAAAAAAGCTAATCCACTAAAGGAGAAGCTTGTTCCACTGTTATCAGATTAGCAGAACTGTGCCCACCACTGGACTTGAGGAGGACTCTCAGCTGCTACCTCACTAAGTTTTAGCTTAATGTCTGTAAAACGGACCGAGCTGTAGCTACTTTTGTGTCTGAGAGTGTTGCTCAGCTGTGGCGGTCATCTTGTATTAGGTTGTTTACGTCTGGTACGTCCACTAAAGACCAGAGCTTCGTTAAAAACTGTTCATGAGATATTTTGCTAACACTACAAACATGAAGTTGGTTTAAAAAAATAGAAACAAGACGTACCGGTGTTTCCAGATCCCGGTGAGGAGTTGTTCTCGTCGTTGTTGGAAGAGGAGGAGAGAACACCGCCGGACGTCTTCTCCGACTTGTCGACGGCGCTGCTCAGAACGGACCTGCGGAGCGACGGGGGGGAGCGAGGGGTCGAACAGGAAGGAAGGAAAGAGAGGAGGAGAGGAGGTGAGCAAAGAGATGAAACCAAGGAGAGATAAAAAAAAACAGTCGGGACAAGAGGAGGGCGTGCAGAGGAGGAATCGAGAGGAAGAGCAAAAAAAATCATAATAATGAGGATGAATGAAGACGAGCTGAACTTTTAATCCTCCTGCTGCCCTCGGGTCAAAATGAGCAGCGAGGCCTCAGCAGGAGGGTTAAAGCACCTGTGTGTGTTTGTGTGTCTCAGATCAGGAGGAATCAGGTGAGGTTACACACAAGCACACAGTGCCTACATTCTGATTCTCTGCCCCTCACACACACACACACACACACACACACACAC